CGATCCAATCGACTTTCCTCGTTCACTGTTCGTTTTTCAAAAGAAGAGCTTGTGAATAATGTCTCTGATGTTCTTGGCATGAGTGGGTGTTTTTATACCGGGATGTTTCTAATTTTAGTTTTTAACCATTTTGATTGTTCTTAATGAGGATGATAGTGGATTATTGCAGCATTGCTTCCTATTAAAACAATAATGATCAACTGACTCTGTGTTTCTTATTAAAAACCTGCATCGATGGAGAAGCAAGGTTTACCTAATGACTTTGTAATAAACTTAAGGACAAAAATGTTATGTAAAATGTCCAAAAAATTGTGTTTGGGTCATTAATATGAAAAGGTTTGAGTCTTTGTTTCGGACATAAAAAGTTAGTGAAAAAGAAAATTAGCAATAAGTAGTAAAATTTAAGAACGCTTGTCCTTTAATTTTTTATTCGTCAGTGTTTTCCACTTTAAAACCTTATAAAATACAAAAATTTGAGAGATAAATTCTTCCGAGGTCAAAGGTCATCGTATGGTGATTGTCCCCATCATACTGAAAAAGTTCATTTCAATAGAATTTTTTTTTAATGTGGTTAATTTTGACATTGATATTGTTTAATGTTAGTGTGAAGAATTGTCATTGAGAAAAATTACTTTTAAATGTAAACTTGTTTGATGTAATTATTGATTACGATCTGATCAGTAATACCTTAATTTGTTAAATCAATCCCAAAATAAAAGTCATCCTTTATGACTAGCAATCTAGTAATAAACTCCAGATATAATATTTTTTAAAAGAATGACCCATTTAACAATCGTGGGAAAGCTGTTAATTTCTGAACATAATTAAAACACATTACATTTCAAGTTGCTTGAAATAACAATAACGAATGAATATGAAGAGCGACCAATAGTATATTTATAAAACATGAACCTATAATAATACAAGCTTCATGAAATTCATGAAAAATGAAGAATTTTTCAAGAATTGCACTTAGTCATTAGAATGTTTAGAATATTCTAAAGTTTCTTCAAAGCAATTAAGAATGAAATGACCGGCTTTTGTTCTTCTCTCCTCGTGACGTTGCTTTGTCTTATTTTTTTAACTGAGAATTTACTTTATTATAAAATTATATTGTAGTAGAACATGTAGCTGATGTTGTAATGTTTTACCCTCTGGTGCTGTTGACAAAAAAATGCTTTTTTTTTTTTTTTTCATCAGAATGGAACAAAACTTGGTAAAGGTTCTGCACTTGCTGTGTGAAAAAAATAACACAATCATGTTCATGATTCGAACATGATTAAATGGTGCTGTTAAAAAGTGTCAAACTTATGTTGTTCGCGGTCAAAAATGAGCGCATTGGAAATGAATGGGAGACGAATTTCATCTAGTGGAAGCGTTCGGTACTGCAGCCGAACACAATATTACAGAAAAGCTAATTTTTTTTTAGTTTTATAGTAAAATATATATTTCATACAAAATTGTTTAAAGGGATAGTTCACCAAAAAAAGAAAATTATCCCATGATTTACCCAGCCAGAAGCCATCCTAGGTGTATATGACTCTTCTTTCAGACGAATACAATCACGAGTTATATTAAAAAATATGTCCTGGCTTTTCCAAGCTTTATAATGGGAGTGAATGGGTTTTTGTCTTTGGAAGTCCATTAAAGTGCATCGTTAATAAAGGCCTTCTGAAGTTCGTGTAAGAAAAATATCCATATTTAAAACCTTATCAACTAAAATATCTAGCTTCTGGCAGAGGGCCACGTCACGCCACAAGACTAACACTTGAAGATGTATGATGTGAAGGAGTAGCACAAGCTTTGACGCCTTTCGCAGTTCAAACACACAGAACTAATACGACAGTTTCACACGTTTTGGCCTTCCATAGCCCTATTAACGTGTAATTCTGTCTTAACACGTTATTAAGCATTAACGCGTCAATTGCCTGTTAAGACATAATTAGGCGTTTACACGAGTTTCACACGTTTTGGCCCTTTTGGCCTTCCATACTGGGCATTCGCCATTGCGTTGTGCGTCAAGTTCAAGTGTTTCTCTTTTAGCGTAAATCTATGCGTACGGCTGTCTGCGTCAAGCTAGTTGTTTTAGTCGATACATTTTTAAATATTCTTACACGAACGCATCGTTAATTTTACTTACTAACTTGTAACTTAATGTTACGATGAAAATGAATCAAAATTAAGTATTTTTGGGAACACAAAATTCTTCAGTTATTTTTTAACAACAACGTTCAAATTTTATTTTCTTGATCACCACAGAAAATAATTTCGACTTGTTTTTCATTTTAACAAAGTATTTTTGGGAATACAAAATATTCTTAACTGCAATCTATTTTTTTTTTTAAAGTTATTTTTTTTAAAAATGATTAGAAAAACACTAACATTTAAAGTGGAGCAGCTTTTCACGGAAGAAAAACATTGATTAAAGGCGGCAAAACAAACTACGTTCACATAGTTATATATTATCCCACACATTACACACACACACCTTTAATATCACTGCGCACAGAAAGGAAGACACAGGTACAAAGGTTTATTGTTTTACAGTACAAAAACAAAAACAAAAAAACAAGATTTTATTAAAGAAGCATAAAAAATAAAACTCTTGATACATTTCTTATAACCGTCAAGTCAGCTCAAATTATACGTGTATACAATTGTTCCAGCTCACGGTTAAAAGGTCCATAAACTTTCAAATAAAATATATTTCAATTTTAAATTTCTTCAATAATTTTTTCTCATTTTGTTATAAATTGCCTATATGTTGCACACAGGAAAACAGAAATATGGAAAATAAAGATAAATTTGCTGTAATAAAAGGGTCACATTATAATCTGGGATATTTATGTCAAGGTAAGCAAATAAATTGTAAAAATAAAATGTGTAAAAAAGTTTTTTTTTTTTTTGTCTTTTCATTTTTAGAAAATTATTAGCTAATGCCTCATGGCTTCAAGACATGCAGAGTTTAACTTACAAATAATGATACATGTTTTAAAAACTACATTAAGTTGTACTTTTTGAAAACAAATCCCAATGATTGTATTGAGGATATTTACAAATAGGCCTGAAAGTCTTATTGAAATAACTTTTGGTTCTGCGTACAAAAAGGATTAAAGCGAACGTAGAAAGGAAAGGAGAGCAAGTTTAGGGCAAAAAAAAAAAAAAAAAAAATGATTCGTGGGGAAAACAGTGTCTGTCGTCGTTCCAATGCAAAACTGCCTGAGATTCGCCTCAGTCAAACCCTGTCCGAAGGGAAACGATTCAACTTCAGGTCAAAAATCACGAGTGATTCTTCACTGACCTTCATCGCCAAAACACATTGTCACACACACACACACACACACACACACACACACACGAGTGGGAACAACTACAATCTTGTACCTTTTTACCAGTTAGACTAAATCAGATTCTGGGGAAAAACCGGCTCAGATTTACGACACGTCTCTCTATACAAATACTCTCGTCCGAAGCGATTCACAAAACTGGAAGAGCGGAGAAGGTTCGTCACAATCTTCGTTTCTCGGCGGCGAGTTTCGCCACCAAGGCACCGTTTTCTGGCACTATCGATTACTTTAATAACACACCAAAGAAAGAAGGAAACGGCGAGTCAAATGAGGAAAAAACGAGATCTTTAGAGAAAGAAACCTGTACAAATCATGCAAACCCAACAAAAAAACTCGTTCATAAGATGTGGAGAAGTCCCTCACTTGCGCGTACGGAAGCCCTGCGTGATTTAGCTGCCACACGGACTCAGTCGGGACTAAAAATCCTGTTTATTAGCGTTTGGCTTACGCGGGATGACCTGAAGTGTAGTGTGTAACCGGAAGCCCTTTAGAGTGTGAATTCATGGCTTGTCACTCACGTTTAAAAACCTTTCATCACGTTTAACGGCAGCTGACGGGAACCTAAGTGCGGGAACGCTTTAACCTCTTACGAGGGCCGGAAGACACTTTTACTCCAGCGAAAGAACATTTCAATGTGTCGCAGTGCACAAAAAGCGATGGCTCTCACACACACACACACACAGGTGAAACTGGAAAAATGAGAATATCGTGCTAAAGTTCAGTAATTCAACTTAAAAGATGAAACTAATATATTATATAGACTCATTACATGCAAAGTGAGATATTTCAAGCCTTTATTTGTTATAATTTGGATGATTATGGCTTACAGATATGAAAACCTCAAATTCAAAATTAGAATATTGTGAAAAGGTTTTCATATCTGTAAGCCATAATCATCACAATTATAACAAATAAAGGCTTGAAATATCTCACTTTGCATGTAATGAGTCTATATAATATATTAGTTTCATCTTTTAAGTTGGATTACTGAAATAAATGAACTTTTGCACGATATTCAAATTTTTCGAGTTTCACCTGTACACACGAACAAACACACACTCACAACAAAGAGAAACATTCGAGTAAACTTACAAAAACCTCTCGATAGAGGGCGCCGTTCACAACAGATGAAGTTTCCACACGTCCACGTTTAACTGTAAAAACCAGCGACCCTGTTTCAGGAGTGTAGATTGTTGGAATGAACTAACTATGTGACGTTCGTCCCTAAAACATCAAGGAGTATGAATGTTTTTAAGGTAGTGTGGCAGAAAAATGCACGGTTATGATATTTATAACATGTCCTATTCTATCAGATTCAACATCAACTAGTACGTCAGATACGTATAAATATTAAGCATTAATATCTCTGGTGTTTTGGTCTAAATGAACGCAGTCTTGCGTTTTACGCCGCCGCCGTCGTCATCGACTGCATTAAAAACAGAATGCGGAAAACAACAAGATCTTTAGAAAATAATTTAAAAAACGACCACAGCGGCGGCAACCCTCTAAAAACAAATGCATTAGACAAAAAGTGCAGCGTAAAATACCTGCGAGTAGAAAAAGTCAGAAGCATGAATGGAAAAAAAACCCATATGAACATGAACGGCTAGGATTACGCAAGTACTTGAGTGGGTAATAGTCATTTTCGTTTCATCATCATCATCATCGTTATTATTGTTGTCAATAAATCAGAATAGTGTCATATCTAATAATTACTCAGTCTTTAATAGTTTAGCAGAAGATCCGGATGCACTGCGAGGCAGGAATGTGACACACGGGACACTCGGGCTCTTGCGACTGACAGATTTGCCCGGCGCAATCCATGCAGAAGAGGTTGTGTCCGCACGGGACTAGCGCAGCCGTCACTTCGCTCTCGCAACACACGTAACAGTCTCGCGGCACCAATCCCGCCAGGGCGCCCGCTTTCAGACGACCCAACATAGTAGAAGCGACGCCAACACCACTTCCACCGCCTTCAGAGTCAGTTGGCGAGCCACCCGGGAGCGACGACCCCGAGCAGGAGGAGTATCCGGTGGTGCTTCCGCCGCTACTGCTACTGCTACCGCCGGAGAACGACCCACCGCCGCCGCTCGTCTGCAACCAGGAGAGGGCGCTAAGCGGGTCGCTTTGAGCGCGGCGAGCTAGCGGGTGATCCGGGTCGGGCGATAGCCGCGGGGTTACGGCGCCGTTGCTAAGGCCGCTGCTGTTACGCCGAACCGGCTGCTGTTTCGCGCCGTTGATGAACGGAGCCCAGATGTTAGCGGCGCCGAATTCAAAACCCAAATCTTCGGTGGTCGCCGGCAAATTCGGAGTCGAGTCGCCGCCGGCGAATGAGAAGCTCCCACCGGCGCTGCTCGTGCTAAAGGGGCTTGTTGGGCTTCCGGCGTCTGCCGTGCGGCGTGTCACCGAGAACGACTCTGCGGCGTTTGATAATGACATTTTGCGTGTGGATTGGTGAAGTTGCGATGGTGGCGGCAGAGGAGGCGGCGGCGGCGGAGCCGAATGAGTCGCGCGCGACCAAAGCGCGCTGCTAAACCCGAGCGCCCCGAGCCCTTCTAAACTCACATCCGTCCCATTGCTGTGGAAGTCGTTATCGCCTTGGAGGTCGACGAATGCGCCGGTGCGTAACGTGATGTGCGTTTCGATCTCCTCCCGCGCGCGGTCGACGTTCTCCGGCATCCCGGTGACCTCGAACACCGGGTCTTTCTCTCGGCTCGGCGTCACGATGTAGGTGTGCGTTTGTTGCTGGATGCGTTTGATCGTGGCTCCTTTGGGTCCCACCACTAGACCCACGACTCTGTAGGGAACGCGCACCTGGATGGTGGTCTGTCCCGGGAGGTTCGGCGGGCCAGGAAGGGAGCCGCTAGTGCCGGGCCCGCTAGCGCCCGCTTTGCAGCGCGAGGCTCGTATCATGGAGAAGTGCTCGGCTGCTGAGATGATCTCTCGCTTCGCCATCTCCACGTCTTCGCGGCGACCCGTCACGATGAACACGGGCTCTTCTCCTCTCACGGGGGTTTTGATGTAGGTGTTTGTTTTTGCACGCAAAGCTTTGATCTTGCAACCTGCAGAAACAACCAGAGAAGAACATTACATTGTTGAACTAGAAGCAGGGCTCGCACTAGGGGTGTGTAATGTACAACATCAATGATATCTTGATCGTTGTTTTAACAGGGTTCATACAGATACTCTAAAATAAAATTCCAGGACTTTCAAGCACTATTTTTTGGTTTTGAAGGACTACAATTAGAGATCTCACTTGTTAAATAATATCTTTATTATCTTCAAATTCTAAAAAAGGTAAATGGATAAAAAAATAAAAATAATGCAATGACTGTAATAACTTTGACCATTGAAAGGATAGTATGACAAAGATATCGCTTTCTTATTCAAACTGACTTTTTTCTCATGAATAGTAATAGTGTGCATGCTTTCACTGTGTGATTAAGTCTATTAATATGCATTTAATGCCCTCAATATTCAAGATAAGGGGCAAAAATACCTCTCTATGTCTTATATTTAAATCAAAGATATAGTTAATATCACACGGATAGTGCCGTCACATGATTACAAATGCGATTTTGATTTTATACAACAGTTCAATAGACGAGAAGTTAATATTAAGTGACTTATATTTTAGATACAATAGTGCCGGACGGTTTTTGCTCTATTTCACCAACAAAAATAGCTCCAGACAGACAAAGGACCTTTTTGCGTTTCTGAGCAACACACAGCGGTGTTTCGATATTGAATGAACAAATCGGTTGAATGAATGATTCTATGACTCACTTATTAAGAGTCAAATGCTTCGTTCAGTTTAAATGACTTGGTTGAATCTCAATGACTCACTTATTAACAGTGACTTGCTGCCACCTACTGGCGGTTTTAATTTCACATTTAAAGTATGTTTTCATTTTTAAAAATAATTTCAAATATTCAACATTTTATGTTTAAAACACCAAAACATATATTTACACACACACACATATATATATATATATGATCTGCATTAAACAATCAGTTTGGTTTCCTCTGCATTGCAAAGATGAATTTTGTTGATACTGATTTTATTTGGTTAGTAACAGCCCTATTGTGTCTTATTATTCGAATTGAATTTATTGATTAAATGTAAGAATTTGACAACAGATATTAATGAGATAATGTTCCATGAAAGTCTATGTACACATGTAAGATAAGAATAAAAATCCATGCTTACATTTTTCATAACATATTGTAACGAAAATTAATACAAATGCATTGACGTGAAATTGTTTCAGCAGAAGCATGCTTTAATTCAAAACTATTTTTAATAAAATTATGAAGAATATTCAGTTTGTATTAGTGTTCTCACTAATACAATTATTTTAAATAATTAAGACAAGATGGTATATCTGTACATTTTAAATTAAATAATCTAGCAAGAACAAAAGGTTGAATAATAAAAGCAAAAAGGGAATTATGACACAAAAATGTTTATATTTTAAACATTAACAATATACTGGAATTATTATATTCAAAATCAATAATCGTAACATATAATCAAATAAATATAATGCCCAAATAAATATCCATAAGTAAACAATTTAATATTAAATTAACTTAAAACTTTTACCTTATTATATAACATTAATTATCAATTTGTAGTAACATGCTACAGTTTTTAATGGAATCATGAAGTTGACATGATTTAAATTAATTTAAAATAATAATTAAATTAACATTTTTGATGAGATTTTTTTAATAGACACACACACATATATATAAAGAATTTAACTAGCAAACGTACACATTTATACAAGACATTTGAATCAATAATTCCAGTATATTATTGATAATTAATGCCAATTACAGTGACACCTCATTGACTACCATAAATCAAATATGCATAACCAGGTCACATGTTGTTGTTTCAGTAGTGTTCTGCAAAAAGTTATAAAAATTATGAAGATGATGTGCTGCAATTATGCAGTTTTCTAATGAGCTCATTAATTGACAGGCTGCATGCTATATCTGCACTTTTTTAAATGAATTTGTCAAATGAACTAACAAAAAGGCAAATTGTTAAATAGAAAATACTTAACATGTACATTATACTTTAATATAACAATTCCAGTTTATTCATCCGAGCCTCTATGTGGTTCTATGTATTTTTATCTCTATGTATTGGTTGTTCTTTATTGTGAAGCACTTTGGGCAACTCGTGTTGCATTAAACTGTGCTATATAAGAATGAAGAAAAAAAAATGAAAATATCATCAATAAGTGACACTTCTTTCACTTTCATAATTGTAACCAGGTCACATAAAATAAAGCCTGCAAGTATAGCATTTTAAAAAATTCAAAATTCTCACACAACTGACCCGTACATTAATAATAAAGTGCAAAATAAAGAAAAATAGACACATACGTGTCGATTGTTTTACCGATCACGTGTTTCCATTGTTAGCAAACAGAGGCGCACTGTTCCTTTAAATCCGCGAGGCTTATTTCACTCAGCCAATGGCGCGCGCGCTCGGTGACGTCATTGCGCGAGCCTGAACGCATGGCATTTCAAACAAAGAGAACAATGCCGCTCCGAGCCAAAACCTCGCGCCGCTCGCATAAATCACACTTGTTGTACACAAACACACATAATGCATGAACTCAGTTTAATCATTTTAGCGGGCGCGTGCATCGGACGGCGCACGCGCGCTGAAACACGCCTCAGTGTGGCCCTGTATACTTGCATAACGCATATCCTCACATGACCCCAGTGCATGCAGAACAGCGGATGATGCTCGACTAAACGCGATCAGAGATCGATAATCAGCAGACAGAGAGATGGGCGTGAGGCCCGTGAATCCGCATCGGTCGATACGAGTCTCTTTTGTCTGGTTTCGAGCGCGAGACACGTCCAGACCCCCTCCTCCCTCTTCAAACCCCTCCTCCAACACTAACAACAGAGCATAACATCCATCCGAGCCTCCATTGACACACTACCGATGTCTATAAAGAACAAATATCGGCCAAACCGGAAAAAAGTACGAAAACACTTAACGCATGCATGCAAAAACAATAACAGAAACATAATGCATATGCAACTGGCCGCTCACTAACTGCTTATAATGCTTCCTTATTGTTCTGATGCAATTGCATTGTTTATGATGCAAAGGAACAGAAAGGAAGACTAAATCTTAGTAAATATTCAAATGTAGTTTTTTGCATGTAATCTCAGACATAAATAACACTATTAAAGTGAGGATTTCCCTATTGTTCCGAATGCAATGCTTTTACTATGTGTGCTCTCGTGGAACAAAGAATAGGTAAACATTCACATTTTCAACGCAATGACGCAATGAACAATCTCAGACGCGACTGATACTAGAAAGATTGTGTTTTATTGTTCAAATGCCTTTTTTGTGTGTATAATCTCTTGGAACATAACCAAATAATCTATTTAAAATGCAAATAACTACTTGCAATGCTTACCTTTTGTTCAAATGCGTTGAACGTAGTAATTTGCATGCAAAATGTTTATATATATATATATAGAGAGAGAGAGAGAGAGAGAGTTTATAATCTCTTGGAACATACACAAATAATCTTATTAACATGCAAATTATTACTTGCAACGCATTTAAACAAAAGGAAAGCATTGCAAGTAGTTATTTGCATGCAAACTGTTATTTTAATAACTAAAGATTATAAAGAAATGCAATGCATTTGAACAAAGGGAAAGCATTGCATTTATTTGTTCCACCACTGATCAATCTCAGATAGCAATGGGACGTTTTCCTATTGTTTATGGCATCATTTTATTAAATGTTACAGCAAAATTACCTTGTCTGCCGACGATCTCCGCCACATGCTCTGACGTGGGCACGGGCACACACTCGGTCATGTTGACACTTCTCTTGCGGAGCATCGAGCTTTGTTCCCCGAGGATGGAGGAGGAGTGCGGGCTGGCCATGTGGTACCCGTACTCCGGAGAGGGCGAGCAGGAACCGGGAGATTCCCGCGAGCCGTTCGAGTGCTCGAGCATCTGCAGGTCCACGTAACCACCGGGACCCCCTCCGTTACAGTTCTCCAAGGTGGTCCCGTCCAGACAGTCCACCTTCTCCAGAGCCATGAGTGACAGCTGATCCAGGGCGAAGCGAAGCGCCTCCTGATGCTCCTCGTCCCGGGACTCCTGCTCGCTCTCCCGGGCCCCGGTGCTGCTCACAACCATCTCGTGATCCATGATATCGGGATGAAACAAGGGACTGGGCATAGTAATCCCGCGTGTGCATCAGACACCCAACCAGAACTAGAAGAAACAACACATTTAAACCATTAGAAGTGGCATGAACCGCTAAAGCTCGTGCGTCTCTTTTGTCTTTATTGTGTTCGGTGCTTTAGCTCCGCGCGCGCGACTCACTTTACTAACGGTTATATTTCTTGACAAGCGGCCGTTGTTACATATAGTTAAAGCACGTGACCTCGACACTAAATCGGTTTAATCGGGAGTTATTTTCAAGAGATGTATGAACGTTGAAAGCGAAGTGTTGTTGTTGTTGTTAGCCGAGCCGCTAGCCGGAGATGATCAGTCACATTGTCGCCTTTGTTTGTGGATCTCAGGCGCGCGCGCCACGCGGACAATCAAACCGGGCGTTACGGAAACCGGCGGAAGAGAAAGTCACGGCAAATGCCGTGGCGGAAGCCTCACCTTAAGTCCTCCCGCGCCGCTTGCCGCTCTTATCTCGTGTTTTCTGGAGGATGAGGGTGATGATGATGCTAACCGCTAGCGGAGCTGCTAATTGTTGGGGGGCGGTTGGAGAAAAAGTCCGTTTTAAAAGCATCAATAAAAGAAAACAAACTCCAGCGCGCGGTAAAATCACGCGTCCCGCCTCGACGCCGCTCTGCTCATTGTTTTCTGGCCGTTTTCAACGCGAGAGAGGAATAAAGCGCGTTCTCCTGTTCCTCCGGTTCACCGTCTTTGTCTGTCTGTGTGCAGACGCACGCCACGCTCTCTCTCTCTCTCTCTCTCAACCGTCTCTCTCTCTCTCTCTCTCTCAACCGTCTCTCTCTCTCTCTCTCGCTCGCTCACACGACGCTGACGTCACCCGGCGCACAACAATGGGTTCAAAGGCCACGCGCTGCGCTTCTGGAGCGAGTATTTATTTCTTCCCAAATAAATAAATATAAAGGCTGCATTTAATAAATTGTTAAATATTATTGCAATTTCAAAATAAATGTTTTCCATGTGAATATATTGTAAAATGTAATTTATTCCTGTGATCAAAGCTTTTATAACTTTATTTACAACCGTTTAAAAGTTTGGGGTCAGTAAGATTTTAGTTCTCTCTCTCTCTTTAAATAAAAAAAATAAAAAAAATAATACTTTTATTCAGCAAGGACACGTTAAATTGATCACAATTGACAGTAAAGACATGTATAATGTTTCTAAAGATTCTATTTTAAATAAATGCTGTTCTTTTGAATCCTGAAAAATAAAGTGTATCAAAGTTTCCACAAAAATCATCATAAATGCTTCATGCGCATCAGATCATCATATTAGAGTGATTTCTGAAGGATCATGTGACACTGAAGACTGGAGTAATGATGCTGAAAATTCAGCTTTGATCACAGGAATAAATTACACTTTACTGTATATTCACATAGAAAACAGCTGATTTGAATTGTAATATTGCACAATTTTGCTGATTTTACTGTATTTTTGATCAAACAAATGCAGACTTGGTGAGCAGATGCGATAAAAACACGCATTAAAATAAATCACGCACACGTTGACGTGTTTAAAGACTTTTATTTGCCATGTATACAAAACGATCTCTCCTTCAGCTACAAGGATTGTATCCTCAAAAATGTTTCTTGCAAAATAAAGGACCAACATACAAAACCACGTCCCCTCAATATTTCATAATGATATCAAATAAGAAAAAAATGCAAGGGTATGAGTAAATCTATTAAGTTAAACCGTGGCTGTGTGAAGAATAAGTGTAAATTAAAATCAAGCCTACTGACAAGAACATGAATTCAACAACACAGGGAAATAATCTGATTTTTGTGCTGTAACCATCAGGTTTCCAGTCCATAATAATAAATCATACCTCATCTTCAGTGCATAATGTCGAATGCATGCAAACATAAACAGCTTGATCTAATCCGATGTCGTCAGAAACGCTCCAGAAATACAGTAAAACCTTTAATGATGTCATGTACACAAGGCTTGATGGGGAAACATGTAAAAGCACCAAAGTAAAAGCTTGTGTCATGTCTACGCTCAAACGGCATCGTAACAAAAGCTAAAATGTAGAGAAACCAGGAAAAATATTGAGCACCATATCTGTACCAGCGATCACAAAACAATTTGCACTTCTATTACATTATTTCAGAGTTATTATTAGTCATAAAAACATGGCATTTTTGCTTATGTGTAAAAAAAAAATGTGTGTAAAACTGATGTTGCATGATCTTAGCTTACAATGTCTGAGTAAAAAAAACAAAAAAAATCACCCGAAACCTCACTCGAACCCACCGGACACATGATGGAGAACGCCAGAAATCTGATACAAAAATAGAGCAGTTAAAGCACATTTAGTTTTATAAAAACTGCTTGAAATGTTACGGGAGTAAAACATGAAGTTTCACAGTCGAGTTAGAGCAGAACGTCAGGGAGAGAGGGTTTGTGTTCTGCATAGGGATCCGCTCTGAGTCTTTGGGTTCGTGGGGGGGGGGGAATACTGTCGTCCAGGTCGTTCCCGTCGCCACCGATCAACCCTGAGAACACACACACACACACACACACACACACAATTAGAATATTACATGAAATCAATAAGAAAAAAAGGATTTTAAATACAGAAATATCAGCCGTCTAAAAAGTATAATCATGCATATGTATATATAGGCCGTGAGACAGAGGGTTGATTGGTACCATTTTGAGGGATTAAACCACATGGTGATTTTTGTGTAGGTATATGACCCTGTATTTGAAAAATGTGTGATAGCATTAGATTCAAGGTAGTTTTTGGTTACGGAGGACGCTTTTCAAACATATGTCAAGAAAAAGGATAAATGAATTTATCTTAAAATAAATTTAAAATTTTATAATAAAAAATGTATAAATTTTTATAATAAACAAATAATATTTTTTTTAAATACATTTTTAAAATTATAAAACGATACATTTTTCTCTCTTGTAGTCACTGAACACCTTACCTTGAGGTAGGATGATATAAGTGTTGATTTCTAATGAAAGCTACCATGGATCGGATGCTATCACACATTTTCCAACACTACAGATGTGTACCTTCATGAAAATCAAAAAGAAATGTAATCCCTCAAAATGGTACTGGTAGCCCAAATTTGGGGTCCCGTCTCATGGCCTAATAGTTATTTATACAAAAAATATTAGTTTCACCTTTTAATTTGAATTACTGAAATACACAAACTTTTGCACGATATTCTTATTTTTCGAGTTTCACCTGTAAATGTCTGGGCATTTTAGTCTAGTGTTAGCCTGGTTAAAACCAGAGCGTTCTCAGTTGTAAGTGAGTTATGGTCTGGCAAAGCGTCATAGACAAATCATTTCCAGAGGGGCGTCACCAACGGACGTCGCGGATAGACCTAAACCCAATCAGAGCGATGAAGGAGATGACGTATGCAGAGCGGCGGAGACACATCTCCGAGTGTTGTTCTTTGCTCGGTTTTTAACTAAAAGGAAACGTTCAAATGGCTTAAAACAGACGCGATAGCTGATTCGAACGAGTGATGTTCGGCGGCGGCGTCCATCTTTGTAATGTAGGCCAGTGTTCCCAACCTTTTTTTGTCTGAGACCCCCTTTTTCCCAAGAAAATATTTTAGGGCCCCCCTTCACATTTAATGATATTATCGCTCTTGTAAGCTTGCAGCAAGGATGACAAAATATGTTGTTTTCAAACAAACAGTATGTTTACTATAACCAGATATGTTTATGCACAAATAATAGCCTATAATATTGAAAATACAATAACAAAAACATCAGTAGGCCCTTTGTAATTTAAAAACATAAGCCTAGGAGAAGCCTATATATTGGCCCTATTTGAAATGCAAAAACAAAAATATTCACACTGGTGTGTAGATAAAAAAAAAAAAGAAAGAATATGGGCTATTACTAAATGGCTGCTGTCTGGGGCCTCAATACTTGCATGTTATTTGTGAGGCTTTATCAATGTGAGGCTTTATTTTTTACGCTTTTGGCGCTATAGCGAGCGATAATAAACTTGCGTTTATTAACAGAATAATGCGTCTTTCGGAAGAACATTGTAGCCGGAACTACTTCTCTCTGTGTACATCTATGACGAGTCACGCAGGCACTGGGCTACTCCGCAGCGGCAGCGATCCGAACCAATGTAAAATAGTCCCAATGTAAACACTTATTATAGGTGTACCATAGTGCTTCAGGATAAGACAAAAACACGGATTGGAGGATTCATGATGAACTCGCTCATTATATACATTTTGAACAGAAAAAAGTTATGGACTTTTATTTAATGCTCATTGATCAAAACTTTTCAAAATATGACGCGACCCCCCACAGAGCTCGCTGAGGCTTCCTTGTGGGCCGCGACCCCCCTGTTGGGAACCGATGATGTAGGCTACAAAATCTTCTTCAAAATCCCAGCGCTGTCGTCATCGTGTAAAGCCCGCCCCAACGCTTCTGATTGGTGCCTCGATTTCGACGGATTGGAAATGGGCTTGAATGAGCTCTTTGCCAGACTAACTTTCAGAGCAAATCTAAATTTGCCGGAAGTTGTCTGGGTTTTCCCAGGCTTGTCTAGTATTAGTCAGTCAATGAAACCTTAGTCGCATTTTTATCATTTTGCATAATGGTTACATTTATAATAAAAAAATAGTGCATTAACAAATCTTAACTTTTGAAAAAAAAAAATATTAGTACCTTTTGAAATGAACATTAACTGAGATTAATACATGCTGTAGAAGTATTGCTCATTTTTAGCTCATGTTAATAATGCATAAACTAAGTTAACAAATGAGACTTATTGTAAAGTGTTACCAATATTTTAAACAGAAAAATTGCACATTTCTACAATCATTAAAAAATGAAGAGATATTGTATAATTTTTAAAACTTCTATAATCTCTCCGTAAAAAAACTAGATGGATTGTTTTAATAGCAAAAGCCTGATCATCCTCGGGTGAGCCGCTTCCCGAAGGAAGAATGATTTGTTCTTCTCTCACAGCTATACGGTCTCTCTCACAGCTATACGGTCTCTCTCACAGCTATACGGTCTCTCTCACAGCTATACGGTCTCTCTCACAGCTATACGGTCTCTCTTACAGCTATACGGTCTCTCTTACAGCTATACGGTCTCTCTCACAGCTATACGGTCTCTCACAGCTATACGGTCTCTCTTACAGCTATACGGTCTCTCTCACAGCTATACGGTCTCTCTCACAGCTATACGGTCTCTCTTACAGCTATACGGTCTCTCACAGCTATACGGTCTCTCTCACAGCTATACGGTCTCTCACAGCTATACGGTCTCTCTCACAGCTATACGGTCTCTCTCACAGCTATACGGTCTCTCTCACAGCTATACGGTCTCTCTCACAGCTATACGGTCTCTCTTACAGCTATACGGTCTCTCTCACAGCTATACGGTCTCTCTCACAGCTATACGGTCTCTCTCACAGCTATACGGTCTCTCACAGCTATACGGTCTCTCACAGCTATACGGTCTCTCACAGCTATACGGTCTCTCACAGCTATACGGTCTCTCTCACAGCTATACGGTCTCTCACAGCTATACGGTCTCTCTCACAGCTATACGGTCTCTCTCACGGCTATACGGTCTCTCACAGCTATACGGTCTCTCTCACAGCTATACGGTCTCTCTCACAGCTATACGGTCTCTCTCACAGCTATACGGTCTCTCTCACAGCTATACGGTCTCTCTCACAGCTATACGGTCTCTCTCACAGCTATACGGTCTCTCTCACAGCTATACGGTCTCTCTCACAGCTATACGGTCTCTCTTACAGCTATACGGTCTCTCACAGCTATACGGTCTCTCTCACAGCTATACGGTCTCTCACAGCTATACGGTCTCTCTCACAGCTATACGGTCTCTCTCACAGCTATACGGTCTCTCTCACAGCTATACGGTCTCTCTCACAGCTATACGGTCTCTCTCACAGCTATACGGTCTCTCTCACAGCTATACGGTCTCTCTCACAGCTATACGGTCTCTCTCACAGCTATACGGTCTCTCTTACAGCTATACGGTCTCTCTCACAGCTATACGGTCTCTCTCACAGCTATACGGTCTCTCTTACAGCTATACGGTCTCTCACAGCTATACGGTCTCTCACGGCTATACGGTCTCTCTCACAGCTATACGGTCTCTCTTACAGCTATACGGTCTCTCTCACAGCTATACGGTCTCTTACAGCTATACGGTCTCTCTCACAGCTATACGGTCTCTCTTACAGCTATACGGTCTCTCTCACAGCTATACGGTCTCTCTCACAGCTATACGGTCTCCTACAGCTATACGGTCTCTCTCACAGCTATACGGTCTCTCTCACAGCTATACGGTCTCTCTCACAGCTATACGGTCTCTCTTACAGCTATACGGTCTCTCTCACAGCTATACGGTCTCTTACAGCTATACGGTCTCTCTCACAGCTATACGGTCTCTCTTACAGCTATACGGTCTCTCTCACAGCTATACGGTCTCTCTCACAGCTATACGGTCTCTCTCACAGCTATACGGTCTCTCTCACAGCTATACGGTCTCTCTCACAGCTATACGGTCTCTCACAGCTACAGGTGCTGGTCAACGAATTAGAATTATTTTAAATAGTGCAATCATGAAATTCTTTGAATGCATTTTTTGTGCAGAAAGCAAATCAGGTGTTCACCGCACCTGTCCTACTCGTTAGACTAATCACAGAACTCGTTATCTGGAAAAAAATTTGCTCAGCTGAGCTTTCCAAAAGGCCCATTTAGGCCATTTAACTGTGACACTGTTGTTTTATTGAATTAGAATAATGGTGAAAGCGTTTCATTGAATTAGAATAAATGCTCAAATTTTTGTTTTCTGTGAAGAGTGTTCACTGTGCAGTATAAAGTCAGGGTTGAGTAGAATTTCTAAGTTGTAAAATCAATCATGGGTAAGCAGCGCGACCTCTCAACCGGAATAGTGGCTCAAATTCAAGCCCTTCGCCAACAAGGCTTGACCCAAACTAAAATTGCTGAGCAGCTCGGCATCAGCCAGTCTTCCGTCTGCAAAGCTCTCAAGAAAAACTGCAGCAAGCGCACCAACTGTTCCGGCGTCCGAAAAACTTCTGCTCGCGACAACAAGCAGCTGAGAAAGATCGCAGTCAGCAACCGGTTCAAGTCCACTTCCGAGCTCACCGACTTGTGGAACAAGCAGACCGGCGCTGACGTCTCCAGATCAACCACTTACCGTCGTCTGCGCAAACTCGGCTTCAAATCTCGCGTTCCAGCAGTAAAACCGATGCTGAACAAGAAACAAATGGTGAAACGGCTGAAGTGGGCCAAAGAACACGGCGAGTGGACTGCTGAAGACTGGCAGAAAGTGGTCTTCAGTGACGAATCACGCTTCTGCATCTCCTTCGGTGACCAAGGTCCTCGTGTCTGGCGTCGTGGTGGCGAAACCTACAACCACGAGTGCGTGAAAAGATCCGTCAAGTTTCCCCAGAGCGTTATGGTCTGGGGATGCATGTCCGCTCGAGGTGTAGGGAAACTCTGCTTCCTCAAGAAGACTGTCAATGCTGCCGTATATCAAGATGTTCTGGAAACGTTCCTGATTCCGACTGTTGAGGAACAGTTCGGCGAAGAAGACTTCATATTTCAACAGGATCTTGCACCGGCTCATGCGGCAAAGTCGACCAAAGATTGGTTCACTAAAAAACAGCTTGAAGTTTTGGCATGGCCGGCCAACTCGCCTGACCTCAATGTCATTGAAAGCCTTTGGGCCATCGTCAAGCGGAAAATTCGCGACAGAAAGCCTACTACGCTGGACCAACTGAAGCAGAACATCGCCACTGCCTGGGAAGCTGTGAGTGCGGAAACTTGCGACAAGCTGGTCAAATCGATGCCGCGGAGACTTCAGGCAGTCATACAAGCCAAAGGGGCAGCCACAAAATACTGAGAAAGTGATGATTGTAATTATAATAAAAATTATTGCAATTCAATGAAACGCTTTCACCATTATTCTAATTCAATAAAACAACAGTGTCACAGTTAAATGGCCTAAATGGGCCTTTTGGAAAGCTCAGCTGAGCAAATTTTTTTCCAGATAACGAGTTCTGTGATTAGTCTAACGAGTAGGACAGGTGCGGTGAACACCTGATTTGCTTTCTGCACAAAAAATGCATTCAAAGAATTTCATGATTGCACTATTTAAAATAATTCTAATTCGTTGACCAGCACCTGTATACGGTCTCTCTCACAGCTATACGGTCTCTCTCACAGCTATACGGTCTCTCTCACAGCTATACGGTCTCTCTCACAGCTATACGGTCTCTCTCACAGCTATACGGTCTCTCTCACAGCTATACGGTCTCTCTCACAGCTATACGGTCTCTCTCACAGCTATACGGTCTCTCTCACAGCTATACGGTCTCTCTCACAGCTATACGGTCTCTCTCACAGCTATACGGTCTCTCTCACAGCTATACGGTCTCTCTCACAGCTATACGGTCTCTCTCACAGCTATACGGTCTCTCTCACAGCTATACGGTCTCTCTCACAGCTATACGGTCTCTCTCACAGCTATACGGTCTCTCTCACAGCTATACGGTCTCTCTCACAGCTATACGGTCTCTCTCACAGCTATACGGTCTCTCTCACAGCTATACGGTCTCTCACAGCTATACGGTCTCTCTCACAGCTATACGGTCTCTCACAGCTATACGGTCTCTCTCACAGCTATACGGTCTCTCTCACAGCTATACGGTCTCTCACAGCTATACGGTCTCTCTCACAGCTATACGGTCTCTCTCACAGCTATACGGTCTCTCTCACAGCTATACGGTCTCTCTCACAGCTATACGGTCTCTCTCACAGCTATACGGTCTCTCTCACAGCTATACGGTCTCTCTCACAGCTATACGGTCTCTCTCACAGCTATACGTCTCTCTCACAGCTATACGGTCTCTCTCACAGCTATACGGTCTCTCTCACAGCTATACGGTCTCTCTCACAGCTATACGGTCTCTCTCACAGCTATACGGTCTCTCTTACAGCTATACGGTCTCTCTCACAGCTATACGGTCTCTCTCACAGCTATACGGTCTCTCTCACAGCTATACGGTCTCTCTCACAGCTATACGGTCTCTCTCACAGCTATACGGTCTCTCTCACAGCTATACGGTCTCTCTCACAGCTATACGGTCTCTCTCACAGCTATACGGTCTCTCTCACAGCTATACGGTCTCTCACAGCTATACGGTCTCTCTCACAGCTATACGGTCTCTCTCACAGCTATACGGTCTCTCACAGCTATACGGTCTCTCTCACAGCTATACGGTCTCTCTCACAGCTATACGGTCTCTCTCACAGCTATACGGTCTCTCTCACAGCTATACGGTCTCTCTCACAGCTATACGGTCTCTCTCACAGCTATACGGTCTCTCTTACAGCTATACGGTCTCTCTCACAGCTATACGGTCTCTCTCACAGCTATACGGTCTCTCTCACAGCTATACGGTCTCTCTCACAGCTATACGGTCTCTCTCACAGCTATACGGTCTCTCTCACAGCTATACGGTCTCTCTCACAGCTATACGGTCTCTCTCACAGCTATACGGTCTCTCTCACAGCTATACGGTCTCTCACAGCTATACGGTCTCTCTCACAGCTATACGGTCTCTCTCACAGCTATACGGTCTCTCTCACAGCTATACGGTCTCTCACACAGCTATACGGTCTCTCTCACAGCTATACGGTCTCTCACAGCTATACGGTCTCTTACAGCTATACGGTCTCTCTCACAGCTATACGGCCTCTCTCACAGCTATACGGTCTCTCTCACAGCTATACGGTCTCTCTCACAGCTATACGGTCTCTCTCACAGCTATACGGTCTCTCTCACAGCTATACGGTCTCTCTCACAGCTATACGGTCTCTCTCACAGCTATACGGTCTCTCACAGCTATACGGTCTCTCACAGCTATACGGTCTCTCTCACAGCTATACGGTCTCTCTCACAGCTATACGGTCTCTCTCACAGCTATACGTCTCTCTCACAGCTATACGGTCTCTCACAGCTATACGGTCTCTCACAGCTATACGGTCTCTCACAGCTATACGGTCTCTCTCACAGCTATACGTCTCTCTCACAGCTATACGTCTCTCTCACAGCTATACGGTCTCTCACAGCTATACGGTCTCTCACAGCTATACGGTCTCTTACAGCTATACAGTCTCTTACAGCTATACGGTCTCTCACAGCTATACGGTCTCTCTCACAGCTATACGTCTCTCTCACAGCTATACGTCTCTCTCACAGCTATACGGTCTCTCACAGCTATACGGTCTCTTACAGCTATACAGTCTCTTACAGCTATACGGTCTCTCACAGCTATACGGTCTCTCTCACAGCTATACGGTCTCTCACAGCTATACGGTCTCTCACAGCTATACGGTCTCCTACAGCTATACGGTCTCTCTCACAGCTATACGGTCTCTCTCACAGCTATACGGTCTCTCTCACAGCTATACGGTCTCTCACAGCTATACGGTCTCTCTCACAGCTATACGGTCTCTCACAGCTATACGGTCTCTCACAGCTATACGGTCTCCTACAGCTATACGGTCTCTCTCACAGCTATACGGTCTCTCTCACAGCTATACGGTCTCTCTCACAGCTATACGGTCTCTCACAGCTATACGGTCTCTTACAGCTATACGGTCTCCTACAGCTATACGGTCTCTTACAGCTATACGGTCTCTCACAGCTATACGGTCTCTTACAGCTATACGGTCTCTTACAGCTATACAGTCTCCATGTCCTCATCGTTGGACTCGTCCTTCGGGGATTCGGCATCGCCGGTGTCCTCCTCTATGTGCGCGAGCATGTCTGCCATGAGCGCTTCTTCCAGCCTCTTCCTCACGCTCAACACCAGATCCTCCTGCTTTCTGTGGACACAACACAACGATTCAGTTCATCTCAATCCACCATACACACATTCAAATATCTGTCATGTTCATTTAAAGGGATAGTTCCCCCCAAAAATGGGACCCTAACCTACCCCAGAAAACTTATTTAAGACATCGTTAAAATAGTCCAAGTGACTACAGTGGCTCAACCTTAAGTTTATCAAGCGACGAGAATACTTTGTGCGCAAAAATAAGGCCTTTATTCAACTATTTATTTCCTTCTCTGTGGGCCTCGAGTGAGTTCTCGTAGTGTAACAGCGCAGCGCAGCGCTTCTGGGTTGTACGTGAATGTTTGAATGTTGTATTCGAAAAGAGATGCAAAGAAAATACACATTAGGTGTTGACTTTTTAAAGCAAATAAGTGACTCTAAAAAATCTTTTTAAAATGACATCATACGACCAGAGAGACTGCTTTACGGCAATCCTTCAGTCACTTTGGTGCTTTCGCGCTTTGCACTTTCTGTTCTCTCGAGGCATCGACAACACAGCTGACACATGTAAATACACGTGCTAGAAGAGTTAAGTCCGCCTTGGCATCGTGGCATCCGAAGCAGGACCAGAATGTTATCAAGCGGTGTCTCTGGTCGTAATCAGTCCTTCACTGACCAACCAGCATTCATTAGCAGAATGCTAGCGTGTTATGGGCAACAACAACTCAACCTGTAAGAAATCGAAAGGACATAAGTACTCGTTCATTCAACTTTCGCCCTATAACCCATGTTGAACTTGCAAAACCTACAATCAAATCTGAGATTTCTCAACGGCAATCGGGTTAAAGAGACAAGTTTAGCCGTCTAGCTCCATAGACTCCCATTCATTTTGCACTCGGGCGATCGCCTCCACTCTGGTGGAACTACAACCTCAATTCAGTACAATAGGACTTAAAGGATTAGTTCACTTTTAAAAAAACTTTTGCTGATAATTTACTCACCCCCATGTCATCCAAGATGTCCATGTCTTTCTTTCTTCAGTCGAAAAGAAATGAAGGTTTTTGATGAAAACATTCCAGGATTTTTCTCCATATAATGCACTTTGCTGGGCAGCAAACGGTTCAAGGTCCAAAAGACAGTTTCAGTGCAAACTGCAAACTGTTCAAAGGGCTTTAAACGACACCAGACGATGAATAAGGGTCTTATCAAGCGAAACGATCGCTCATTAAAAAAAATAATACATTTAAGTTTTATAAGCTCAAATGCTCGCCTTGCTCTGTTCTGTGTGACTCTCCTGTTCGAACTCGTTCATCAAAATGAAAGAATCTTTTTTCGAGTCATTTGATTCATTTAACGAGTCATTTGATTCATTTAACGAACGAAATGAACGAATTGACTCGGAAAAAGATTCGTTCATTTTGATGAATGAGTTCGAACAGGAGAGTCACACAGAACAGAGCAAGGCGAGCATTTGAGCTTATAAAACGTAATTTTTTTTTTTTTTTTTTTAATGAGCGATCGTTTCGCTTGATAAGACCCTTATTCATCGTCTGGTGTCGTTTAAAGCCCTTTGAACAGTTTGCAGTTTGCACTGAAACTGTCTTTTGGACCTTGAACCGTTTGCTGCCCAGCAAAGTGCATTATATGGAGAAAAATCCTGGAATGTTTTCATCAAAAACCTTAATTTCTTTTCGACTGAAGAAAGAAAGACATGGACATCTTGGATGACATGGGGGTGAGTAAATTATCAGCAAAAGTTTTTTTAAAAGTGAACTAATCCTTTAATAGGGAGTGGCCAGGCTCTCCGTAGACGGGCTCTGGCATGTGCCAGTTTTGTAAAATGACATATACATTTTTATTTGATCATATATCATTTTATAAAACTGTTTTGCACACTATTTCAGTCACAACACCGCAATCAAAGGACGGCGCTGAAACCATCAACTGTCGATGCTGTTCTCGTCCTTCATAACTCGTACTGAGAAGGATATTTTCATGTAAATAGTTGTGCAACTGCGCAAACTTTGTTTTGAAGTTTAATGTTTGAGTTCCAGAGGAATTTGTGACCGTTTCACCTGTTCAACCACATCAAAGTTTCTTAATTAGTAATGCCCCGTTTACACGAAGGGAAGACGCAGATATGTCCCTGCGGTTTGGCCTCTCATTTACACGAAAACCCCGCTTTTATCACAGAAAACGATTATTTCTAAAAACTCCGGCCAAAGTGGAGATTTCTGATAATGCCGGTTATGTGTTGCCGTGTCAACTGGGAGAAACGCGGTTTTAGGTTCTCAAACGTCACATTATGTGCCAGAAAATGTTTAACGTCACGTGAGCGCCCAGTTTGGCAGAGTTATGATGGCGACGCCGTATTTATGCGGGTTGATGTAAATGAGAACTTTTTTAAAAACGATGTTGTGTGCACGATGATATTATTAAAAACGGAGGGGGGGGGGGGAAATATTCGTTTCTCTAAATATCCGGCTATGTGTAAATGTGGCCTGAGTCTGTGCTTTTTCTCTTTTTTCTTGTGTGCTGAGGGGGCCGTGCCTTGGTGAAGCGCTGTTTGTAGCCTACATGTATTTGTTTAATTATTTAGTCCTTCCACAAAAACACAGAGTTTTTTGTGTGATTGTTGCGGGCAAAAATCCTTGATTATGCGGCCCGTTTTCTTTAAAAATGCGATGGAATATGCGGGATATTTATGCAATTTTATGCGATGAAACTGCGTGAACTTGCAAAAACTGCGGTTTGATGAAAAAGAGAAAAACAAGTGACCCCCCAACACCCAGTTCTCACCAGGCTACTACCTTAATGTAAAGAGTCATTTCTTAATACTTCCTATGATAAGCAAGCATATACATTAGGGCTGCACGATTAATCGAATTTTAATCACGATCACGATTTTGGCTTCCCACGATCAAATTCGCGTGATCGAGCGATATTTTAAATGCGTCATTCAGTTCACAGAAAGCTTTTTTTTTGCCAATCTAGCGCACCGTAAACCAGTGTCTGATCACGTGCCTCCATGAGCCCAGGTGCGCGAGAGAGACCTACGGTCTGCGTGCGAGCGACAGTGCACGAGAGAGACCGCGAGTGTGTCTGCGTGCGAGCAACAGCGCGCGCCTACCGATTGTGTCGCGCGCGAGAGAGACTGAGTGACAGTGCGCGTGAGAGACCGAGTGTGAGCATTAGTAAATTGCATTAGTAAATTGGTACATACTACATATATATATTTACTATTTATACCATGGTCTGGGTGAATACTCGATTCTGATTGGCTGCAGGGTGTCCGTTAAAAAGTGATAGAGGACACCTAAAGTAGTTCTGGTGAAACTGCCTGTTTACCATTCGAAATTAATAAATAAATGCGCTGCCTACAACAGCTGTGTGAGTAACCATAGCAACAGGCAGTCAACGTTAGTTAGATATTACATAGCCTACTACAATGAGCGACTTCGTTCGTTATTTCATCTTCAGTCTCTCACGGACTGACGGAGCCCAGTAAGCCCGCAGACTGCTCTCGCATCGATGGCCTGTCACCGACTTTATTTGACGGCTCTCCAGTCCAGCATCGGAGAGTCGACCTACAGCGGTGCTTCGGAGGCTGTGGTTAGTGTAGACTAGTGTAACACAAAGTGTTTTATGTGCAATAAAAAAATAACTATGCCTACCTTTGTGTTTCATGAAAAAAAAAATGCATTTTTGAACCTGAAGGGTTCTACAAGCTGAGCGGACTATAAATATCTCAAGTTGCTAAATAAATCGTCAGGCAAGTTATTATTTGAAAAAACTAGATTTAGCCTAATTAAAATATAAACTAATGTTTTAAAAATGTTTTATTTGGCAAGTGACCATGGTATAAGCGGGTTAATGCCCTTCGAGGTGACCGTTGTCAGGTTTTAATGGACTTCGGCGGAGGCAACCGTCCTCCGCTGCGCGTCGGCCGGTTTACACCTCGCCGTCGTCCATTAAAACCTGACAACGGACACCTCGTCGGGCATTAACCCTTACATAAGAGGCATGGAAGTTCGATTAATGGACTCCAATAATCAGTCCTACAAACGTCTTGTTTTGACCTATTGTTTAACAAATAGAAATAATTTGAGCACATAAACTTTCACATGGAGAATTAAATAGATTAAATTTATGCAGTAAGACTTCACAACTAATCACTGACACTGTAGGCCTACCACAACATTTTACATTTATTAAGCGTCAAATAACAATGACTCTGAATTTCATCCATTAATCGAACTTCCATAGTGCAGTTCTGCCTTGAAATGTTCTCATTTGGTTACATTCTGTTATGGAATATTTGTTTTTTTATTGATTGTATATTTTGCGTGTTTTATTCACATCCATTATGCAGGTACAATGCAAGTTTATATTTTGCTTCCTAAAATAGATTTACACAATGTAAAATGTAAAATAGTGCCCTGTTGAAGTTTTGCTACATTTTCTTTATTGTTTTCTTTATTCTTTAAGGAGATGCACTGAATTTTGGTGAATAAGAGGACCTATTTTATTTAGATACACATACATTAGCAGAAATGTAGCACAATATGGATGTGAAAGCAGTTATAATTAGCCTATGTGGCAATAAAATTTGTTTTGGTTAAAATCAACAAATAATCGTGATAATTAATCGTGATCGCAATATTGATCAAAATAATCGTGATTATCATTTTGGCCCAAATCGTGCAGCCCTAATATACATCACATCAAAGTGCTGGAATATTTCAGTTTTATTTCAGACCTTAATAAACGCATCAAACTTACAAAACATTGATGAGTCAAACAAGTTCTCTAGCTTCACAAAAGGAATATGCTACAACTTCAGTAAAAATGAATAAATGAAATATAAAAAAATAAAGTGTGCTCCTGTTTTACAGCTTTTCGATGATGTTCACATCGCGTAATTACGTCACTTCGTAACGTTCCCATGGCAACAGGGAGAAACGGCTGCTCTCGTGTGAAGCAAACGCAACATTTTTCAACTTTCTGCTCAGATATGTGACTTTTTTGCAACGAAAATGCGAGGATTATGAAATCATGCAAGCCCCGCATATTTTGCACGGAAATCGTCAATTTATGTGGCGAAAGTGCGGCGTATTTGAAAAAATGCCCCTGCATAAATATGCAGACTTTGGCTGATTATGTAACCGTAATGGTCGGTTAAATGATTTCGGGTTCGGGCTTCAGTGTGTACCTGATGTCCTCGTCGGTCACCATGAAGGCTTTGCAGAGCGGCTGTGTGGTGTTGAGCCAAACGCCGGGGTTCTTCTCCACAGCGGCGGACAGCTGACCCGTGATGGGAGCCGAGCTCGTGTGCAGAGCGCTCGCTAGAGCCGAGAGGAGCGTCTTATCCGAGTAACCTGGACCAACACCTGCCGGTTCAAACATTACACAGTTTACAAACACAATACTGCATGACTGCCCGCAGAACTCAGTGCATTTATAAGCCCGTAGATAGAGCCAGCACTATAGGAAATGATCAGAAGCTCGTAGGTGGGGTCGGGAATCGAAAAGTGATTCTGGAATTGAATACTTGAGGTTTTGAATCGGATACTTTTATAAAATTAAAATTTCGATTCCTTTGTGAGCATAGAGAGCCTAAGCCCCTCCCCTTCCGGTCGACCATCATGGGACCTTAATTCGGGAAAATATTGTATGGTAGTCAATGGCGAGAGACAACAAATATTTTGATCTCGTTTGAATTGTGCCCTGAATTACACATATGATGTTTGTCAATTTAAAAGATACATTTTAAAGTCAAGAAAGTCGCAGTTTGATGTAAAACTGTTGAGGTATAAGACTGTGAAAATACGTCATTACAAAGACTACAAACCCCAAAGGCGCACATTTTCTCTCAATGAGTGAAGCTAACTTTACTGAAGCTAGCTAACTTTACTGAAGCTAGCTAACTTTACTGAAGCTAGCTAACTTTACTGAAGCTAGCTAACTTTACTGAAGCTAGCTAACTTTACTGAAGCTAGCTAACTTTACTGAAGCTAGCTAACTTTACTGAAGCTAGCTAACTTTACTGAAGCTAGTTAACTTTACTGAAGCAAGCTAACTTTACTGAAGCAAGCTAACTTTACTGAAGCTAGCTAACTTTACTGAAGCTAGCTAACTTTACTGAAGCTAGCTAACTTTACTGAAGCTAGTTAACTTTACTGAAGCTAGCTAACTTTACTGAAGCTAGCTAACTTTACTGAAGCTAGCTAACTTTACTGAAGCTAGCTAACTTTACCGAAGCTAGCTAACTTTACTGAAGCTAGCTAACTTTACTGAAGCTAGCTAACTTTACTGAAGCTAGCTAACTTTACTGAAGCAAGCTAACTTTACTGAAGCTAGCTAACTTTACCGAAGCAAGCTAACTTTACTGAAGCAAGCTAACTTTACTGAAGCAAGCTAACTTTACTGAAGCAAGCTAACTTTACTGAAGCAAGCTAACTTTACTGAAGCTAGCTAACTTTACTGAAGCTAGCTAACTTTACTGAAGCTAGCTAACTTTACTGAAGCTAGCTAACTTTACTGAAGCTAACGTCTGTCATTGTTTCTATAGTCTTGCGTTATAATCGTAACGTTACGCCGTCATGCCTGAGTGTTTTGTTCCAGACTGCACACACACCAGCAGCGGATCTCGCTCGTTGTTTCGCTTCCCGGGAGATGTCGTTCATTGAGCGATTTTCACATAAAACTAAATGTTACTCTTCTGTTTTATGACAAACTGCGACTTTCTTGACTTTCAGAATTATCTTTTAAATTGACAAACATCATATGTGTAATTCAGGGCACAGTTCAGACGGAATAAAGAGAGAAGTTGTCTCTCGCCATTGATATTCTTTCCGAAATAAGGTCCCGTGAGCCGGAAGCGGAGGGCTCTCCATTTCAATATGACTTTAAACATTTCATTATAACTCTTAAAGTGACAGCAGCCCAATTTTCCTGCTGCCGTCTCTATAATAACACTAATCAAACAACAAAAGACAAAAAGAAAATTCCCTCGTTCTTGACTGAATAACTTTTCTAACTGTATTTGTAATGTATATTTTATTTATAAAGTGCAGTGTTATTTTACATTTCTGTACCTGAATACCTAAAAATCTTAAAACACTGTTTATTTTAATCGCATCTTTGTTCAGTTGTGTCTGTTGCGATTGCACATTTTTTATTTGTTCTTTGTCTTTAATAATGCTTGAAATGTATATTAGTTAAACTGGTTGTTATTGCTATGGTGTTTTTAAACCACAGAAAAAAAGTGATTGTGTAAGTGTTCTTTAGCCTGTTGATTTTTGTTCATGATATTCAGCTACAATTAAATGTTTAGCAATAAGACTAAATGTGAATGATATCTCGTTTATCTTATTGGAATCGGAATCGATAAAACTAAAACGATACCCAGCCCAACTCTAAGGAAACAGCGCTATCTCAGTAGAAAATTATGTTTGAGAGCTTCTTTTCCCGATTTACCTTGCAAGCCTTTAGGAAGATCCATGGTCTTCACCAGCTCCTCTGCTATATCGTAAGTATTGAGTCCACTCAGCTTCTTTTCCCAGAACAGCTGTGAAATAAACCGGTCAAAGATCATCACACTGCTGGTGTTACAGGGACTAACTGACCAGGAGTGCGTTTCCCAAAGACAACTATGTTCGCTACCAATAGAGTTCAATCAAACTTGCAATCATAGTTAGCTAACAATGTGTTTGTAAGTCTACGGACCGCAAACTTTTGAATGGTAGTGTGTGTGTGTTTGTTTGTATGCATGCATGTATATACAGGTGAAACTCGAAAATTTTTAATATCGTTCAAAAGTTAATTTATTTCAGTAATTCAACTTAAAAGATGAAACTAATATATTATATTTAGTGCTGGGCAAGTTAACGCGTTATTATCGCGTTAACGCATTTATTAATTAATGCCGACAATTTTTTTATCGCGCGTTAACAGTTTTTTTATTATTATTATTTTGAAAGTCCGTTGCTCACTGGCTCTGAATACACATAGGCCTACAGTCAAACCATGATCACAGGAGGGGTGGGATGTTGGTCAGCCAGCAAATAACCCACCAAACCAGCAGTGGAGAGGCTTTGGCAGGTTCTCTCAGGTGAACAGAAAGGGAGACAGCGCTCCGCGAGTGAATGACAGGCGCTCTATGGATAGTAACCATGGCAACGGCTTCTGTGCGCTACGCAGCTGTAGCCTTTTTAACTTAAATTAAAATTATACATAACTTTACCTGATAGGCCTGCGTTTAGTTTAGCGGGGATGCTCTGCCATGTGAATTCCCTCCTGTTGATGTCCTGATAACTATTTAGATTCTGGAAACTCACAAACAGCGAGCCGAGGATCAGTTTCTCTTCCAATGATTTGTGCTGCACGTCGTGTACAAAAAGTTAGACAATTCAACTTCGGCAGCGCGCGGGCGCGTGCGTGAGGCGAGCATGACCGCAACAGTTTCACAGGAACGCACCCGCTTGTCGCTGCACCTGTGCTCGACCACTTCACCTCACTCTAGGCACTTCTGCGTCGGACCTACGCCGGAGCCTCTACGCTATAGACTACGCGTTGGTTTTCATTTATATATCTGCGTCGTTGTCCGCGTTGACGCGCAATTACACATGCAGAGGGAGAGTGTGAAACCCGGGGAGCGGTTCTAGCAATCACAGCGCTTGCGGTACGCGTAGGATTGACGTTACATTTTTGGAGAGATGCACGTCAGGGTACGCGCCCTACACAGCTACGGCGTGAGTTCGACGCAGAAGTATAAATTGGGCTTTATCTCTGTTTAATGTAATCTAACGTGGGAAACCATGGCATGCCATGACCAAACCTAAGCTGCTATCAGAGAAGTAACGTTGGTCGACTTATATCTGTAGTAGTGATCATGACCCTTTGACTACATTGACTGTTTCTGCTGCTCCCTGATACAAGATACCTGTTCAAAAAAAAAAGAAAAAAAAAGAAAACTGGACTCGTTTTAACAATCTAGATAAAAGGTAATGCCCTGGCAGTGGCAAATAGCTTTGTTTAAATATTTGATTTGATTACGTTAATGTTTAAGTTGAGATTTACAAGAAATATTTTATTTAAACTGTGTAAAGGGAATACTGCTGGTATAAAAGCACCTTATTTGTTTCAAGTTTTTTGCAAACCACATGTTATTGCACTTCTGTAGCAGTACATTTAAATCAAAAGTGCGCAATACACTACTTTAGGATTCATTATTCAATTTTGCGCGTAACAATGCGATTAATCGCAAGAAAATCATGCGATTACATTTTTTAATCGTTGCCCAGCACTAATTATATAGACTCATTACATGCAAAGTGAGATATTTCAAGCCTTTATTTGTTATGATTGTGATGATTATGGCTTACAGATATGAAAACCCCAAAGTCAAAATTAGAATATTGTGAAAAGGTTTTCATATCTGTAAGCCATAATCATCACAATCATAACAAATAAAAGCTTGAAATATCTCACTTTGCATGTAATGAGTCTATATAATATATTAGTTTCACCTTTTAAGTTGAATTACTGAAATAAATTAACTTTTGCACCATATTCTAACTTTGAGTTTCACCTGTATAAATAAATATACACATAAACACACACATATATATATATATATATATATATATATATATATATATATATATATATATATAAACACACACATACATATACACACACAAATATACATTATATATATATATATATATATATAAACACACACACACACACAAATATGTAAGGGATAATCCACGGCTAACCATGCATTAAAGGATTTTAATGCACGCTTCGCGTCGGGTGGTTCTTCGCCTCTACGTCGTGCATTAAAATCCTTTAATGCATGGCTAGCCGTGGATTATCCCGCTTATACCTCGGTTATTTGCCAAGTTAAAAAGAAGTTAAAGCAGTAACTGATGTGATGTTTACAACGTAATTTTTTTAACAGACGTGTAAAAATGACGGTTATTTTCTTAAGTTACGGCTCGTTAGTTCTAGCACTCCGTCCGCTTTAAATAAAGTAGAGCCTTCGGATTGCTTTTATTTGAATGAATTATCACATTTATTTAAATTCATTATTAAAAGAGAGAGACAGAGAACTGAAAGAGAAGGAAGAGAGAGAGAGAGAGAGAGAGAGAGAGATGCGTGCGCGAGTTAGCACCTGTGCGCGTCTCTTCTTTAAAGTCTACAGTCCCCTCGTTGCTTAAGCATAGCTAACTTAATGATTCATGGATTTATTAAAATTATTTATGAATGACAGGCAACACTGACAGTGACAAGGCAATCTTTATTTGAACTAATCATGTCATTTATTTAAATTAATTAGCTGTATCTGTATGTCAAACCAAACTTTTACACGGATGATGAACGAACGCTGGTGTCTTTTCCATTTTTCCTGTAGCGCTTTAAAACTGATTTAAAGACGGCATTGCTTGACTTGAAGTCTTGAAGCCCATATGATGTTGTATTTTGTAATGTTACGGTTTATACCTGCTCTTAGACGCATCAAACTTGCAACACTGTATTCGCGTCCAGCGGTAGACTGAACAGAGGCATAAAACTCCCGCAATGTCTCATTTAAAAGAGACGCAGAGTAGGTCTCGAAATCACAATTGTTCTGTCTTTGGCGCAAAAAGTCACTGAAAGTGTTAACTGCCCATTTACCGTATTTTCCGGACTATAAGTCGCACTTTTTTTCATACCTTGGCTGGTCCTGCGACTTATAGTCAGGTGCGACTTATATATCAAAATTACCAAGATTTACTCGTCACAGGATCGCTGACGGCCTTAGATTATTATTTGCGAGTTTTTGATGTATTTGTGGTATGACGTGAATGCATCATTTGGCAAAATTGGGGGTGACATTACCGTCTACAGCCACGAGAGAGCGCTCTAGACTACAGCTAGTTTTCATCTTCCTCCGGAAATAGCGGAGTTGTTCAGAAGCGACACGGAGGATGAAGAATTCAACGGGTTCAGTGATGTGGAATAAGATCGCGGGAGCTTGGTGAAATTGCTTTACCGATAACTGTTG